ATCGTGTGACGCCAGCTTCATAGCAAGCTGCCTTTAAGATCCTGGTACAGTACGGTAGTTGGTTTTTTACATGTGGCCGAATTATATTTACAAACTAAACAGTGATTTACGTATTTACCTAGGCATACTACTAAAGCGTTAGCGATCTCTTAGGACCTACAAAGTGATCTACAAAATTTATTTTAATATGTACCTCTACTCAGTCCTGACAAATGTGGTTGTGGTCTCTTGCGATGTTTTCAACGATAATTTGAGCATCTCTAACAAATATTGTTTAGTAAACTTCCTCTTGTAAATGTGATTTACTGTAGACCTATATAGGCCTAATTGATTTATTAAATTTATAAGATCTAATTGAGGGAATTTTTGTAACCTGTGGGTGTGGGTTTGTGGTTTTTTTTTTAAAGGCTGATGTCCAGGGTATACTTATTCCTTTAGCTGTCCCCATGCGCGATTTCTCTAGGGGCAGATGCCCCCCCCCCCTTCTTAAAACCGAAGTGGTACCTACATTTTATAGTCTAAGTAAATAAATAGCTTAAGTTAATTGGAGGCACAGACTTAAAACCTTAATGGCTTATTGTGTCCTCCGCACACAACCTTTCTATTATTATTATTATATTATTATTATTATTATTATTATTATTATTATTATTATTATTATATTTACTATTATTATTATTATTATTATTATTATAATTATTATCATTATTATTGCTATAAATTTTATTATTATAAATGTTATTATTATTATTTTTTTTTATTATTACTATTATCATAATTTAATAATTTGTTAATATTACTTAATTTGATTACATTGCCCTTGTTATTTATTTACCTTTCTGAAGAATTTTATATTGTATTTTTTCGTTGTGTAAAATTAAATAAAATGAATGAAAAATATGCAAGTACTGTACTGTAAATGCTTAGGCCCCTATAATATTCAACTTGAGTCGAATGATAATATAAATAAACTATTCCTGCAAAGCATATGTGTATTTTATTACATATTGAATAAATTACGGTACCCCAATAATCTTGCGTCTTAAATTACCTTTCAGTTCATTCGAATAAAGAAATGATTCAATACCGTTTTAACGCTGAGAACCCACAGATAATACAAATCAGACTGTATGGTCGGTATTTTTTAGGGAAACTCCCTGTCGAGTTGTTTGGATGTGAAAAAAAAAACCTAATTGGTGCGTCATCTCTTGTCGCTTAAATCCATTATTAAATGTAATGTATTAACTTAAAAAATGTACAAATAAGATAATAAACTTCCAGGTCAACATCTTGGTCACAGGCAATACGGAAGCTTTCAAAAGATAATGTAGATATGAATAAAACACACTTTACAAAACTACAAGAGAATTGTTCCTCAACATGTATTGTATCTTGCATTACAAATAGTGTAGCTACAAAGCTTATAAAAGGATACTTCAGGTTAAACATCCTTGGCATGTACTACATAATTTGCTACCTGAAAAAACAAACATAAACTATAACCTTCGAGCTCCCAGAGAGTTTAAGTTGCCAAAAGTCAGAACAAAGCGGTCTCGTGACTTTATTTTAAACCATGGAGTTTTTGCCAAATGGTGAAATTTCCCTCGACAAGTTTTTCCCCTTCCTTCCCTTCCCTCTCGCTCTACTTAATAAATTATTAAAATTAATGAGATAAAATTTCCTGTAGGCTCTTTTAATATTTTAATTTTTAATTTTTTAATTTTTAATTTCCATAATTTTGGTGTCCTTTCTTGGTACGGTACCCTGCTTTTCCTTTTACTTGTTTTGTAGCTGTAGTTGTTGCTGTGGTTGTTGTAATTGTATAATTTATAATGTTTTCTTATTTTTTTGTACTTTAATGTTGTGATGATTTTTAAACGAGAATTTTAAATGTTTCATATTTATATTTTGTATATTACTATTAATTTTTCTGTACATTTCAAATTTTCATTAAGTTTGCAAATAAAGTTATTTTGAATTGAATTTGAATTGAAAGGCAATCTCACTTAGGGGTCATCCATAACGTTTTCAAAAGAGTACAAAACATACTCTTCAGTGTGACCCTTTTCACACCCCTATAAGAACACACATAAAATGTTTGTGTCATTTTGAGATCAACATTTTGTCTTTTCCATAAAAGAGTACTTATGCCGGCACTTTCAACTCCACCCTCCAGCCGCCTCCAAAAAAAAGCGTATGTTTTGTACTCTCTTGAAAATGTTGATAATTATTGATGGCCCCTTAGCTTATTTTTACTCAATTCGGAATTGGTTTTCATTAAGATTTAAGCAAACTATTAATTTTGCTTTCATTCCCTAGACATGCAAACCCTTTGCTGTTAATAAACAATACTGCGTGTAATATCCCTGTGCAATTTTCAAGGTGCACATTTTCAAAGACTTTTATTTAAAGAGCAGATTTGTAATTGGATATTAACAGATTCAGTACATATAATTCTAAAGCGGTTGCGTATTTTCACAAGGTATGCATAAAAGATGGCTTGAACCATAGCGAAATTCATGGACATCACTCTTCAAAATACCACCGATCATAGAGTGCTTAACCCTAGACCAAAATACAACTTAAGACGATTCATTGCTTACTACGGTTCACACATAAATGTGTGCCTAACGTAAACAGAATGTTTTTTTTTGTTTGTGTATTGTACAGGATACCAGAGTTTCTGTGCATAAATGTCCGTCTTAGCCTTCAACTTTTGGCCTATTTCCTCTACACTTTTTATATAAGAGGCTGAAATTGCTTAAAAATAATAACCAAAAAATAGGAAGAAAATGAGGCTGAGGTAAAATGTCAAGTGAAAGTTTTATTAAAAAAACCCAAAAAACAAAAAACAAAGAGAAAACCAATAAGTCAAGCTAGTTACATACAGTAAAGTATTAAATATTTTAAAAGTAATATCAACAATATATCTACTCCATTTCAACAGTGCAGTGACTTATGTAATACCTTCTATAATACAGTACAGTACAGTACTGCGTACAATAATAATTTTTTATCTTTGAATTTTGTAAGAACAAACTACAAAATTTTGAGCCTGAAATTGACAAAAAAATGAAAAATAAAATAAAATAAAAGAAAACTAAGCCCGGGCAATTTTTTTTTAAAAAACGTGTATAGCCAATATGGGGAGTGGGATGGCAGAGCGGTTTAAAGTAAGGGGCAGCGCATCGTACAGCCATAATATCGGCACTGGTTCGAACGGCACGCGCACCTATGGTTCTTGTGATGGAACCAAGTCTTCTCGGATAAGGACTATTAACCGTAGACCCAATTTGGCTTGTGTGCACTTAAAAGAACCCAGTACATTCAAGGAGGTATAACAATAAGGGGGTTACCCCGATGCACTGGTCCATTCATCCCGTGTGGTGGACAGAGGAGAGGGTACCGGGTAGCTCAGACAAGAAGAGACCCTTGGAGGGGGGGGAGGGGGTGGGATGAAGCAAGTTACTGTTTAGTCCACACCCCAGCGCTTTGCGACCGTTTCGGTATAAAACGCTGTATTACATTACCGGTACATTACATTACAATATAAAAGGAACATTGAGGTAGGATTATGATATCATGGTCAGAAGTACGAGTGTAATAGGCCTATTTTTTTTTTGAGTTAAATACAAATGTGGACACTAAATTTAGCAGATATAAAAGCAGGCTACGACAGGAAATGCACTTCAACCGGAAATGTCAAAAAGCTTTGTGGTCTCACCAATGTAAACGAAATAATCGCATGAAATTATACAGTATACAAAACTCTGCGTATGGAAGAAAAGATACTAAGAAAGCATTCAAAGCTGATAACAACTTTAGGCCTATATAAATATTGTCAAATTTTGTCGACTCTTTCTAAACTTCGTTCGCTATCAGTATAGTACCCGTAGTTAATGCCCTTATTCGTTTCGGTTCCGTTATAAGAGATTTTCTAAAGCAGCAGCTATAAATAGTTTAATAAATTTATTTAATAGCAGCATGCACACAAGCATAAACTGAAAATACTGAGAGAAATGCTTTTAACGAACACACAAATTAAAGTAGAGGACGCTCAAGTAAGTCTTAAGTTTTTTTTTTAAAGCATTCCTCTATTGTAGTTAAGCTGTGTGGTTAATGAACAGTTAGATAGTTTTTTAAACTTAGTTGAATCAGAGAACAAGTTCGTCATAGATGTGATGTAATCAGTTTTCTTCATTATCCAACACCATTTTAATAGCTACTGGTGTAACACACTGTACACAGCATAATAAATAACATTAGGCTTATGCAAAATAGACAAGCCTAAATATACACAAAATATTTACATATAAAACAAGTATATTCTTATAATATAATAATACATCTCGCTTGAAATTATACAAACTGCGTATATGAAGAAAAGATACTAAGAAAGCATTCAAAACAGAAGCTGATATCAACTTTATATAAACATTGTCAAATGTTGCCGCCCCTTTCTAAACATCATTCCTATAACGGCTGTTAGTATAATAGTACCCTGTGTTAATGCACTTATTCGTTTCGGTTCCGTAATAAGAGATTTTCTATAGCAGCAGCTATAAATAGTTTGATAACAATATTTAATAGCAGCATGCAAACAAACATAAACAAAGGATTTCTGAAAGTAGAGCGCAACTGTAAGGTGAAAAGTAAGTGATTGTATGAAAATACTGAGAGAAATGCTTAACAAAAACACATTCCTCCGTGATTAAACCAAAGAACACTCATTTAAGCTTCAAGTTTTTAAAAAGCATTTTCCTTTATTTTACATAGCTAATAATAGCTATTGATGTAACACACTGTACATCATAATAAATAACATTAGGCTTATGTAAAATAGACAAGCCTAAATATACACAAAATATTTACATATAAAACAAGTATTGTTACTTATAATATAATAATACATCTCGCTTGCAGGGGCGGATCCAGAGATGTCCAAAAGGGGGGCCGAAAGTTGGGCCGATCGAGACAACATTGTCCCAGGGGCATGCCCCGCGAAATTTTTGTGTTCTAGACGCCAGAAAATAACATTTGAGGCCTTCTGGGCTATCACATTTTTCTTTTTCTTTCTTTTTTTCTTTTTTCTTTTTTTTTTCACTTCCCAAAAAGGGGGAGCCAGGGCCGGGCCGGCTCTATAAATCCGCCGCTGACTTGAAATTATACAGTACACAAACTACGATGATTAACCTCTTTTGAAAAACACTTTGGGAACTCTTTCCTTTTGAACGACTGAAGTCAGGCTTCGGAGGAAAAACAATATTTGATTAGTTTGTTGTACAACTGATTTTTCTAAGACTCAAAAAGGATGCTTGACGAAAAACTCGGAAACAGTAAATGAAATACAGATTTTTGAATATTCAAGATGTGGAAAAAGGGTGAAAAATGTAAACAAAACAAAAAAAAAACCGACCATGTTGTACAACTGATTTTCAAAATTTTTGAATATATAAGATGTGGAAAAGGAGGGTTACGCCTCCTTTTCCCCGGTTTTTAAATATTAAAAAAAATCTGTATCTCATTAACCATTTCCGAGTTTTTCGTCAAACACCCATTTTGTGTTTTATAAAAATGAGTTGTACAACATAGCAAACAATTTTTTCCTCTGGAGCCTGACTTTAACTGCCGCAGATTTAGGATACCGTATGCATTGCACGAAATTTTCGATTAATAGGCTAAACCTGATATTATTTTAATACTGTATTTACTATTTGTTGTTACGTGTTATTAAAAATTCCCTGTAGTTGTTTTGCGTCTATGGATTTATTCAAACACATAATCAGATTTTCTTTACTGAAGGGTTGTAGTTGTTTTGGAATTTCACATTCCTGTAACATTAATACAAGCACGGAACTACCACGCTTAACAGCACTGTATACCACGATTTCCATAAAATAATTGCACCAATTACAACTTCGAAAATCCGGAGAAAGTACCATAATGTTATATCTACTTGAATGTATTGCATTAACGAGTGTTTTTACATAATCTTCGCCTAAAACTTTATCTCTCTCACTAAGGAAGCCATGCAGATTGAATTCATCTTCGAGTTTTGGCACAAGGTTCTTAACAACCCACTCATAATCAGACTCTGACTTAGACTCAGCCTTAGACTGGGATGCTACAACATTGAAATCATGTTCATTATTTGTTGGTGATATAACACTAGTTTTAATTGATCTTATATCTGGTTCTCCAATTGAGTTGGCGGGAACTTCCCTTTGTATCAAAAGTGACTCTCGTTCAATACTCATTTGTCGTACTTGCATCAGACCTTTGCTGTCACCTGTTAATTGTAAGCACTTTCCCCATCGTTCAAAGGTTTCAATAGGGTTACAGTAATCATCGCAGTCGGTCATATTCACTGCAGCTGCGAAATGAAATATTGCTTTGTCCAGGTCGTCCCTTCCTTCTTTGTACTTCCGGTCAAATATCTTTTTTTTTCCTCGTAATAAGAAAATATATCCAAGGTCAGACAGATCCGCGTGTGTTTCCTTTAAATCAATTGCCTTCTGAAAGGAATTTTGTGCCTTTGAAAGATAGTCGTCATCTTTGGTATCAGATTCATTATCATTATACATTTTTAAATAGAGCAAACCTTGATGACGGAATGCAAACCATGATTCTTCTATCTCAATCGATGATTGGAAAAAAATTAGTGCTTCTTTAATTTTATTAAGGTGAACGTATTCTGATGCAATACGCCTGAGGACATTAGCATTTTGGGGGGAAAACTGTAGACCCTTTTCTAGACACTGTTCGACAGTTACGTCTCCAAGACGTTCATTAGCATAAGATGCTGTCTCTTCCATGCGCTGATCAAATGACTTTTTAAGACGTAATAAAATAGCAATGAAAATCCATGACAGAGCTGTACATTCACCTGGTGAAAATTTGATGTCTATAACATCAAGAAAGCCATTGATTGCTTCCTCCAGTCTTAAATTTGAATTCAGGATTTCGGTTTTTTCCAAAAGTCCAAATTCAGTCTTCTGGTGATATTTACGGTACAGTGAAAGACCATAATCAAATAAAATCTCAGCTCTTTCAGTTTCAATCCTCTCATTGTTACAATTATTCACCACTTTAATGTGGTCCCTAGACATTTCTAGGAATTTAAAATACGTAAACGTTCGTTTATCCTGCTCGAAGTGGCGTATGATATGGGCTCGATCGTAGTAGGTTCTTGCAAGAGCAAGATCATTTTCTTTATTTTCTATCAATCTCTTCTTTAAAACTTCAGCTTTCCAGGCGTTGCATGTATGTTCATAAATATATATGAGATCAGCTAATGACGTGATATTTGTCTTGTCTTTTTCCAGTACTTCTTCTAAAATTTTCTGGCTTTCATATCGTCTTTCGGGGTTGTTTGTTGACGCTCTGAATAAGATTGTTGCATACATAGTTTTCATCGATTGGCAATATAACGGTCTGTCTCCACGTTTCTCTAGATTTTGGAGCTTGGTTTTGACGGAATCCGTGTGAATGTCATTTTTAAACTTGTCGATGGAAATATCATCCCATAAAGCTTGGCAACTCAAGTGGCCGAATGAATCCATCGATACAAATAATGCATCGGTGCAATACTCCGACGAAGTCCATATGTATGACGCATCTACAAATAATTAAGGCTAGCCTGTGACTTGATTTCACGATATGTATAAAAAAAAAAGTAACGCGTAAATTTCCGCGGGTACACCTGCAGATTGACCTCGTTTTTATGGTCAAGAAACGATGTGTTTCCATATGTTACGTATGGCTCACGAGCTCGTTTGTCTGCTCAACGAACAGCAGGTAGGCCTATATCCTTCCGTTTGAATTAACATGAAACGTCTGGTAAAATAAAACTCGCTCGTGGATCTGAGCGCACAGATTGTTGTATCACCAGTAGGCCTAAATGTCAGCTAGACCCGAATTATCGTGTCCAAACGAGACTTACGGAATTCATCAATCCATCTTGACAAAATTCAACGTAATTGTTATTTTAAAAACGCGAAGACAAGTGTATGCCCGTTTTCAGACATTGGGCTCTGAACGAATTACAAAATATCAGTAAATGACTAACAAACATTATGCTGAGCCGCAACTCATTTGGCTAAAACAGACCTTGTGGAAATCCCAGCCAAATATGGTGCTCCTACTGTAGATCGATAGATGCGTTAAACCAAAATACTGCATTGTCATGCTATCATTTAAATTTCTGCATCACTGATCATACAACGAATTTCGACATATACCGTAGTCGTTATTGTTCGATATTAAAAATACATGGAATCACTCCTTTGTGCGAGGTCAAGTTTGTACATGTCATTTTTATGTGCATAGTAGCACTTGGTTGATCGGATGACATAGGACGTCATAAACTTCATCACTCTGTATTAAAGAAATACGTTCCTACGCAACCTACCTACACAAGGGAGATGTAGAAAAGACATTAATAGCCAATCAAAAGGGTACCAATCAAAAGGCTTGAATGTTAGACATTTCACACTGGTGTTGGGGTTTGTTGCATATCCAACACCATCGTTATGGGGCGCAAACTGTGCCAAAAAGGAAATTACAGTTCATTTGTTTAAATTTGAACGTTTACTTTCAATTCTTGTTTTGTAGATATTCACGTGAAAAACAATGTAGAATGAACAAGCAAAGTTTTCCTCTCTAAACCAGTCAACTTAATAATAGTGCGTAACACCATGGGCTCTCGAGGGCGGAGTGGGGGGAGGGGCGCAGCTCGATACCCCCAAGGGGCCCCGGACCCGGAAGTAAAAGTTAATTCTAGGATTTAGGTTTATAGTCCCACAATATAATTATATTATTCTGACATTGCATTTAATGCAGTTTTTCAGCCTTAATATTCATAGGTTAGCGAATACTTTAATGAACTTTAATGGGCTCACAACTCGTCGTTCAGCCACTACTTGATAAACTTAAAATTCAAAGGCACAGGTGTATATTTTAAAATAAAATACGTTGCATTTGAAAGAAATAATCATTTATGGTTCAGTACCAAAGCGTTGGAAATAAAAGGTATTCGTAAAACACTTAATATAATCATGGAGCGAAACCATGACCTTGAGCAGTGAGAAATGTGAAATACAAAATTAATCCTTCCAATATAATATTGAAAGTAAATTTTACTCTGTCCTTTGGGAAGAGATTAAACCTTGGTTTCCATAAAATCGCTAGCGACAGTGTAGCGATTTTAAGGAAACCAGGCTTTATACCTCATATCAATTATTAGTAGGCCTAATTAAATTTGACAAATTCTGTAAATGATTGTTAAATTAGCATGTTATAGACCTAAATGCAGAGATAAAAAATATCGTATTGTTAAAATAAATAAATTTCTAGATTAAATAACAAAGAAATAAATAATCAAGTGCTGTCACAAGATTTGAACCAGAGACCCTGTGATTGGAAGGCAAGCACCTTAAGCACCCAAACCAAAACGTTAACTATATACAACCATATATTGGGGACGGCACGTGGATACCCGGTATAGTGTGTGGTATACATACAAATGTGATTGGACCAAAGACACCTGAACACAATACAAAACAAAGCCAAAGTAAACACTCATGCATATTCAAATTTTTATTACGTAATTTACTTTACAGAACACAGTAATACTTGAATTTTCTTTGTTATGTATGATGATACTATGATAAATTAATTTAAACCATTATTTTCCCGATCAACAAACTTTTCCTTCCTATTTTATGGTTTAATAACAGAGATGTATACTCGTACGACATAATCACAATACCAGTATAACCACCCCATACAACTACTCACAACGTATTTGCATTCCAGATACATTTGAATGGGTTTCTGTTAACTAAACCATTCATTTGTTGTTTTGATATATCTCGTATCTGTATTAAGATACATATAGACGATAAAACAATTTATTTACAAAAATGAATATATGTGGTGATGTTTTAACACTTTTATAATGTCATGTTATTTTGATTAATTATTTTCACATATATTATAGGGCTACACACACAAAATATCTAATCAAATACCTACATAGGCCTAATATAAACTTAATTATCCAATACACGCATATGGATAGTATACACAAACTCTCAGCTACTATAAATTTGATGCATATAAAATAAAAGACCTATCTACATAGCTGATAAATTTCAATTGAAAATGATCTCTCACATCCAACCCGATAAATCAGAACTGAACTGTTTCGATTTGTGTCTGATTGCAAGACTTTTTTGGTAATGACCTCCGACCTGGTAAGTACTGCACCCATACATACTAGTAAGAGAGGCAAACAAAAATGTCTTGCCTCAGGCAAGCATAGCAAAAAGTGATATATATGTGAACTAAAAGTGATAAGTTTGGAATTGTCTGACCATTTACGGCCTGAAATGTTTGGATATATCACAAAATACGTAAACACTTGAAGTAAAAATCTGTAAATATAGTTTATGTTTCTGTTTACCGTATTTATTTATTTACTGGTGGCATCCCTGTCTCTGGATAGCATAGTACCGATGTTTTTCCAGTGACATTTTAATAGTTGGCCTCGGTCACAATCTACGACCGATAAGTGCTTGAGTTTGCTTGGTATTTGACAACTCCTTAGTTTAATCGGAATAATATATTTACGTGGCGTATTTACTGCCATCTCTAGTTCATACGAACACCAATGATCTTCTAGAGAATCAGGAGACAGAACAATAATAACGGCACTACTTTTCTCAATCGAGCTCACAATATTTGTTGATATACTTTCGCCTGGAAGGTAGTTTCTGTATCGCAAACACCCATTCAGGTTGTAGGTCTTTTCAAGACTGAAAACAAGACTTCTTGCCCAGTGACGATCGACATGGCTAAAGCTTACGAAGAAATCGTATGTCTCTTGACGCTTAGACCAAGACGTCTCTTGTGTGTTTCCAGGTGGTTCATTCTCAGAAAGAACCGATAATATATTGACGAAACCATGTCGTTCCTTTGTGCAATAGTCGAAGCGAGAAAGATCACAGTCTATTCCATGGCATATTGACCCATATCGAAACTCAGTGTTGAAATGTTCCAACTTCGCCTGGCAATAGTGCTCTTCAGCACCCCTTTGGTGACCCATTGCTTCTAGGCAACACGCCCAGCGTGAGTGCGTATTGCCAGGGTTACAGTGATCGTCCGATTTACTATTTTTAGCATGCGAAAAGTGATACACTGCCTTTTTGTAGTTTTTTAAAAGATAATATACATGACCAAGATCCGAATGATCCGCATGTAAGTCTTTGAGCTTCAATGCCTCTTGAAAACTACGCTGAGCATCATGAAGTAGTTCTGGATTCTTCTGCGTATCATCCTCGTATTTCCTTAAATACATGAGACCTTGGTGCCGGTATGCAAACCAAGAACTTTCTGAAGCGAGAGACTTTATGAATAGATTATCAGCTTCATCAAAACGTCCAACAAGTGTGAACTCTGATGCAACTCGACGTTGGACGACAGGATCATCTGGTGCCATTGCAAGTCCTCTTTCAATACAATCCAACGACGTCATTCCATGTAGCTCTTGTGCGTCTTGTAATATTTGGGATAATTTGCGTGAGGGTTTATGACGCAGTAAAATACCAATGAAAACCCATGCTAAAGCTCGGCACATCAACGGACCGTTTTCAACATGAGCGACGCTATAAAATGCCTCCATAGCTTGTTTACAGATATCATTCTGCGGCGACATATTAGCAACTGTCATTTGTAAATCTTTTCTATATAGCGCCAAACCGTAATCAAACTGCCATTCTGCTCGTTCACCCGAATTTGTTAAACTACAGTACTTGACTGCTTCGGATATGAATGGCATGTACGAGAAGTTTCGTTTGTCTTGTTCAAAATGTCTAATCGAATGCGCTCTATCACAGTACGACCTGGCAAGTGCCACCGCGTTGTCTTTTCCACCAATAATCGCACACAGACGTGCCTGATAACCATCGGCAATATCACAAAATCCCAGATGCCGATTGATCATTTTCAAATTTGAAATAGCGTTTATATTCTCATTGTCAAATTCTAATGTGCTTTCAAAGGCAGCAATACTCTCGTCACTACATTTCAATTTCCACAAAATATAACCATACAGGTTTTTCATCGACAGAAAATATGTTGTGCGGTTATAATATTTACCCGTATTCAAACACCTTTCTAAAACTTTCTGTTCAGAACACAAAACCTTCTCACTTATCTCACTGAGTTCAGGCCAAGAAATATGTCCAAATTCACATGGGCTCATAGACATCTTGAACCTGTAAAGATATCAAAGATCATAATCATAAACAACTTCATTGTCATCATTTTTTTATTGGGGTTTTTGTGTATTTTTGGGGCATTGTAATTTATGAAATTTAGTATTTAATGTTATGAATACAACAATATTTTTTATAAATAAATGTATTTAGTTATATGCCTATATTTAGTACTTTTTACGTTTTTTTTACCGATGTATATTAACTATTTCAATGCCGAGTAGACACAGTACGATATCGGCTCTCCTTGAGAGCTTGAGAGTGCGACATGGTCTGTTGCTTGCTCGTAGCATCCGTCGCGCTCACCTAGTTGCAGTCTCAACAGAATTGCGTCCGCCGGCGCATTCCAGCTAAAAGGTGAGACAAATTTGATGACACATTCATTTCAATAAAGCCATAATGTATTTTTCGTGTCAATAAACGAAACATGAAGGTTATTTTTGTGTGGTTATTGTAAAGAAGAAGTTTATCTTTCATCGAGAAAAGCCTAAAAAATCATTATTTACTGGAAAGCGTCTTTTCATTTATGTTTAAAAAAATTAACTTACTGAAGTAGCAATGCTTAGACATGAATGGACTATAATTGTAGTTTTAATTCCATCCTTTAAAACTGTTTTCTGTAGTTTAAATGATCATGGATAACTTTCCATGAAGGCATCTAATGCGTGTGTTATTCTGAATACGAAATGAATGTCTATATAATCTTTATGTGTATCTACATGATTTACCAAATGCCCAGAGGCATATGCCCAGTCTTAATGGAAGTAATAAATATGCAGCTCCTATATGTTTGGGCTCATTTAACAAGTAGGAAGCATCGGCAAGAAACCACCATATTTTTCGAGTTTCAGATTTGTTGTAGGTTAATATATATATATTCCCTAGTCAGTACCTTTAGTCACGTTACGACAACATAATAAAAATAATGAGTCGTCAAGTAATTAACTTATTTTCATTTGCAGCAATGTGTTTAAACAAACTTGTACAGGGAACTTTTTCAAGTTTACTCAATTCTTCAATAACGACAAGATGGATTTAGTAATATAGTTACACATCATACACATACAAATTATAAACCAAAACCACTGCGGTCTAAGAATAACACGTGAACCAACTACCACCAAACGTGATCTGAAATTGACTAAAATTTATTTCAGTACAAATAAGATATTATGATCATCACCATCATTGTCATCATCACCGCAATCTCAATCTAAATCACCATCACTATCATCATCATCAACCATCATCATCCTGAGCTCAGTCAAAAACTTTGATACCAGAGTGACACTCTTCCATACGCCCCTATTCATCATAATCCTGGGAAGCTTAATGGTGCCATTTCTGCGTCTCAGTATCATTGATCAACAGTCTGTCCACTCACTGAGGCTTATTGCCAAACATGGAAACTTTGAAAATAATACTGATATTTAACTAAATATATATTGAGATAGAAAGTCCGATTAGAATAGATACCACTATTTGTTAGGATGTTGTAAACATAAAATGTCGTATGTTGGCGTCACATCATGGTGCAATTCATAAAGATCTGTCCACCACATCAAATTGTATGTGACAAATGTGACATATATGAGCATAATGGGGCAGAGCTAATAAAAGGGTTAAGTATGAATATAAACAAAGTTGATAACCATGTTTACCTTTTGAATTGAATATCATTTGCATTTTAGTTTCAATTATCCACATTTGTTGAGTTCTGGAGACTTCTAATTATATAATTTGAATTTCATTTCATAAGAATGTTGTTAATATTATAATGTAGAGTTCTGGAGACAGTGCAAATAAGCAAAGAATTATTTATATTATCTCGACATTACTTTAAAAACTTGAACCGTATATAATGTTGATGCTACTGATAATGATTATGATAATAATAATAATAATAATAAAAATAATAATAATAATTATTATTATTTTATTATTGTTATTAGTATTATTATCAAAATTATTATATTATTATTATTATTATTATTATTATAAAACACATTTCAAATATCGTATCGTCAGAGCTGTAGCCGAGGTAAAGTAAGTAGTGGCGAGCCTTTGATGTTCTTTAGTGCATGACTCGTAGATGAACAGGGTTTCACTGACATCAGCATGCGTCTTACACAAAATATTAGGATGGTTGTTACCACTTTTTTCGGTGCGTCGTTCTATCGTAAGCAGAATATGATGTACTACATTGTCTTGCATGCGTCTATACAATTCTAAAGTATGTGTAAGTGTCAGTGGTAGTGGTAAAATTAGTGAACACAGGGCCACGAATTGCAGATAACCTCTTCCACATTGACGTCCCACCAGACCAGAAGTAAATGTGTAGGAGTTAAATGTGCTATATATAAAGGTATAGGTAAACTTGCCAGAAGCAAGAGGGATTTAGCGATGATTGTTTAAAGTAATAACTATCAAAAACAACACCAGCAACCGCAGCAACAACAACAACAACAATAGTAATAATAATAATAATAATACAGTAATATTATAACTGTAATGTAATATTAATAACGACAACACCAAACAAGTGATGATGATGTGTTATTATTCAGGATGATTTAGTGTGGGATGGCCAAATTCACTCTATTGTTTCCAAATTTAATACAAGAATATATTTTTAAATACAATTAGGAAGAAGTAGTGGTCTTGATAACCGAATCTTGCTTCACTATTATTGCACTGTTATTAGATCAGTGCCTGAGTATTCATGCCCTTTATGGTTTTCTGGAACCACACTTAAGCAACAACAAATAATTGAAACAATTCAAAAGAGGGATGTTAAATGCATCCTCCCAGGAATGTCATATGATAATGCTCTTCTTTTACTTGGACTCTGCCCACTTAAGGACCGGTTGTTACATCTCTGTAAAAGTTATTTTGAGAAAATAAAGAAGAACGAACACCGATTAAATCATCTTCTAACACCAACCCCTGCTCATAAATATAACCTAAGGAATGCTAGACAATTTGCTCTGCCCAAAATTAAAAGTGAAAGAGCCAAGAAATTGATTACTAACCACGGTATTTTTCACCAATGGTAAAATTACAAATCGAATCTAATCTGTGTCCGCTCGTCTTAAAATTTGAACGGATTGTATTATTGCAATATCATCTTTTTCTCAATGGCTTGAACATGTGTTTGTATGAGTATATGCGTATTGTGTACATGTGTATATATATAATATATATAATATATATAGGTACATGTAGGTATGTGTGTGTATGTATGTATATATAATAATAATATTATAATAATATATATATATATAATTATATATATATATACATATATATATATATTTATATATATGTGGTTATATCAATAATGATTATCTTTTATTAATTGAAACTTTCAACGGTTTGTTGTGATTATTTTCTTTCCTTATTGAATTTTTTTGTAGTTAAAATAAGTAAATGACCATTTTTGATGTAATTTTTTTGTAGGGCTTTTTGCAATAAATGTTTTTCAAATGATTTTAAAATTGCAATTTGAATTTTGATCTCAATGGCTAATTATAATGATGATTTTTTTCTTTTCTTAATTGATGCTTTTTCTAAAACAACTAAATAACAATTTTGGATGTAATTTTCATTAATGGGCATTTTGCAAATTTTGGTTGTTGATCTTTAACTTTTTTTTTTTTTTTTCTCTTGATGTACATTTTTTATGTTCTCTTATTGACTACCTTAAGTGCAATTAAAATTTTATATTTTTGATGTTGAATATTTACCTTATTTTAGTCCTATCTGAATCATGTTAATTAGATTTTTAATGTACATGTTCGATGTTTTCCCCCGAATATTGGTGTTTGTCTCGTATTTTGAATGTTTTTATCATTTCTTTTACCGTAAATTATCTTATCTAATCACTATGTTCCATTGCAATAAAGTTTAATTTGAATTTGATGTTGGTGGTAGCGTTGTTGTTGTTGCTGCATTGTTAATGAAGATGATATTGTTGCCACCGACGTTGTTTGTTGCTATTTGTTAATGATGATGCCATTGTTGTCATTGTTGTTAATTTTACGTTAGGTTTATCTACTTTTTCTTATTCATTAAATCTTACAATGACGAAACAGACGACGTATTGCTGATATTACTAATGACGATGATAGTGATGTTGTTGCCGTAATATTGTTAATAATGGTCTAATTAAAGAATTGTTTTTCTTTATTTTTTCTCTCTTTCTATATTTAATATTTTCTGTAGCCTTAGAGTGGTATTAAACCTAGCATGTGGCGATTTATTTAATAAATTATGATGGGAGTGTTGTTGCCGTCGATGTTGTTGCTGCTGATAATAGCAATCATAGTGTTTTTTTGTAGTTATTCTGTTCGATGAGTTGTTCTGGTTCTAGAGGATGCCGAGCTCCTAAAGACTTCAACAAAGTTGGAGTATAACAGGAGGGGTAGAAATAAAGTGGAATGATAGGAAGACCCATCACCATAGTATAAGACGCACAGCGTCAGTTCAGGCTTGCCATACCGCCTCTCAATCCTTGGCAAGCGATTTTTCAAAGAGTTCTTTGGCCCTTTCGTGACAACCAACCAGCGACAATTCGGATGCAACTCTCCTCATAACTATTTCATTATCAGGAGATAAATGAAGGCCCTTTTCAATACATTGAATACTGGTTAATTCGTGAATATCTGAATTACTTGGGAAACAACGTCTTAAAGAACGCGTTTTATCATGTCGAAGTAAAATTCCCATAAAAATCCACGACAGAGCTTTATACACCTTTGAGCCATTTTTCACTAGTATGACATCGTAGAAACTGCGAATGGCCTCTTCAAAGTTTGGCTCCGATTCTTCGGAGCTAGCGTAAGCAAGTACCAATTGGTAATCTTTCCGAAACAATGCTTGACCATACTCAAACAGCCACTCGGCCTTCTCAGGACTGTTGATTTTAGCACCAAACTCAATCGCTTTGCATAAATACGGCATGTAAGTAAAATCACGACAGTCTTGCTGAAAGTGGCGTATAGAATGCGCCCTCTCACAGAACGCGCGCGGGTATAGGGCTATATGTTGTTCAGCATTTTTTACAATGTTTTCCGAAATTTGCATATATTTTTTGGCAACTTTCAATTTCCCAATCTCCCAATATAGCACAGCAAGATTGTTTACCGAGTTAAGATTAACTGGGTCTTTTTCTAACACTTCTTCAAAAATATTTATACTTCCGTCTACATCACCTAATTTGTACAAAATATATCCATACAAATTTTTAATTGACACAAAATAGGTTGGTAGTGTATCATAGTCCAGACGTCTGACTCTCAAAATCTTTTTTTCCCTCTCTAAAATAGTTTCCTCAATGTCTTTCAGTTCTTTCCATGTTAAATGGCATTCCACTTTCAACATGTCATCTTCAATTTGAATGTTTCTTTCGTCAGATGGGTAAAACATTGCGTTTCATGATTATCATTATTTCATATTTGCCTTCTGCAACACTAACATAAATGAATGATCGCCGGCATGAATATGATAATAAAGACAAATGTGGCGCTCCATAGTTTTAAAACAGTAAATCACTGCTATAATACCTGTACTAGAGTACTAGGCATATTGGCTGATTCCTCGAAACTATAAACGTATGTTTGTTGATGGTCTCGTTAATTATGGCTCAACTTGAATACGGTAATTTAACCCTCACGCGCAAGATTCATTTCTCTGAAATAAAAACAAGGAAATTACTCATGAGAATCAGTACAAGGAAGTATAATGTCAATCAAGTAAAGTAACATTCGCGTCTGGTCGGAAGGAAAACCCTTTGATTGACATCTTCAATGCCTATTATAAATGGATCGATGCACGATACTCGAGTACACAGTCAATTTATTAGATCATTCACATGTATTAGCCTTGTTTACACGGCCGTTTGCTATCAGATACAGTACGTAATACCGATTATCTCCAGTCGCGCGACTACACGAAAAATATTATCGGTTGTACCAGGAAGTCACGTGATTAAAACTGACCTAAAAAATGCGCGCTTTGCTGCTTTTTTTTCAAAAAGATTTAAAAATGTTGGCCCTATGTAATTGATAAAAAAATAATTTTTCAAATAATGGTATTCACACTTTCAGCGATGACTCACACAGGTCAAACAACAGCTAATTTGCATAAAGATCACGTCGATGATCTTTATGTTAACACCGTTGCGATGCTGCGTTGGTCATCGCGGTTACTGATCCATAATATGCGGGGTTACTAACTCCGTTTACACGCCACTTAACACATACTGTATATTAACGGATAAACGCAATCATCAGGGTGATCTACTGCAATTTTGTAATTGAACTAAGGCATGAAAAATAAAATTCAATTTTAGGCTAAAGTTAAATAAGTTATTAGATTTGTTTAATTGAAAACATGGTAAAATATTTTCTTTATCAATTAACAGCCAGACGCATAAATAAGACGCTACTATATTCTTTGCATTATAGAAAAATTGTTTCGAACTGTGTCATTAAAAGTTCAATTTAAAGTGTCAATGAAACTTTTTATATAAGCTATTCCGTATATTTACATTTTTGAGAGTTTCGTTTTTCGTGACACTGAGTGTAGGCCCTACATCTACTGACCGTAGCAGTGAACATTGATATGCATCATTAAACACACGAATCGTAAACAAAACATTCTTGGATCTTAACGGATTAGGTCACGAAGTTGGCAAATACATGAAGTAATATAATAAGACAGTTTATATCGACGTTAAGCATCAATGTATTCATTGTTTGATAGGTTGTGACTGATTGATTGTTTGATCGATCCACCAACCCTACTACGTCATTGGGCACAGATTTAACATAGTTAATAAATAATAACAATCAATAGCCTCAGTACAATTATATCTGTAATAAGTATTTTAAATTTTTATGTTTTTATATGTATATATCTATAAATTTATATTGTTAATTTTTATTCTATTTTATAATTACTAATTGTTATTATTAATATCATTATTAATTAATTGACCACGGACTCAATTATACATTATATAATTATTTGTTGATATTGTATTTGTTATGTTGAATTTGGGTTTTAGCTGTGTAGATTATAATCATATCGACATTGGAAAATATTCCACAACAGCAATATTAACAATAATAATAATAATAATAATAATAATAATAATAATAATTTGGTAAAAATAATAATAATAATGATATAAAAAAAAACAATGACCTAATACACAATATCAATTATAAGTATAACAATACAGTAGTGGAGATGCAATTTTTTATCGGTTTAATAGAACACTGAGGATATCCACACCTACTGTATTTAAAACACTTTCCGATTTTGCAATAACGCACTCATGATCAATAACCATGGATTATTTAAACGAATCTAGACGGCAGACTTCAACATGTGATTTAAACAACCGTTTTAGTCTGAAAGTAAACTTCCTAGTTTCCATCTCGATAACACACGTGGCCGAGTGGCTACAGGTTCATGTGTCTGTGCTCTCGCTTCCGTCACTGGGATCAACTACTACTATAAAAATAACAGTACTACCATAATGAAATTGCGTTTTACAGGCGCCTTGTATTGTAGGCCTGCTTGAGTCGGTGTAAACACGTATTTTTTTTAAATGAAAATTGTATCTACAGTAGGCCTAGTCTCAGCCAAACCAAAGAGGAACATTAACCGTCATCTTTGTAACCAAACAAACGCACACACTGAAACGAAACTTACAAAAGATAAATGAAACTGTTCCGGAAAAACCCTCTCAAAATTGAAGGAAAATTAATATCCAATAACACAAAAATGAAGTATACAATAACTGGTTGTAGTTGTATGTCGATGCTTGTTGTAGTTAGCATTATATCCTATATAATATATTTGCTATGCTTGATGAAGTCTGCATGGAAAAATCAGTGACTATCAACTGTCTCGATCTCACCCATTCACGGTTGATGATGCAATGTCACCAAAATAAACACGGTTAAATACTGACCTGACTAGTTCAATTGTAAACTTCAGAGTGATATTATGAATTTCAGTTTATCCACCGTGACAGATTTAGTGGATCATAAAGTAGGTTTTGCTCGCAGTTATACTGTTGTTGAGCTAATGATAGGCCTACATTTTAATATTTAAATTGATTTACTTACTCTGTTAAAGACAATTATATTAGCGTTCAATTAGTAAGGAAAATATTCTTTTCGTCTTAATTATCAATTGAAAGCTAGCTATTAATTTACTTATAATAGGTACCAATTCAAATATCGAATGTTATTCTTCAAAGTTATTAGCTCAATACATTAACAGGTAGGCCTAATTGTATAAACTGAGGTTCCTAAACTCTAAACATTATGAAAGCACAGGCGGCCTGCTATAACCCAATATGCTGAGGTAAAACGTCTAATGAGTTCTATTTTTAAATATTATTTAAAATTATGCAATACTTTGATCCTGATGACTAATGTTGTGTAGTTTATTCAAAGAACCAATTAAAGATCTGACCATGTAGGCCTACACCAGACTCATATGTGTGAAAGTGAAACACCATACCTAGACAGGTTATGCAGTGATGGATTAAACCAATCTGACCACAATACCAAACTATTATGAACGTTTGGGAACCATGATTTACATCAATATTTACTCTGTTATATGTATATATGTATATGTATGTGTTTGTGTATGTATGTGTATATGTATGTATGAATGTATGAATATGTGTGTGGGGGGATGTATGTGTGTGTGTGTATATGCATGTATGTGTGTATATGTATGTGTGTATATGTATGTGTGTGTATGTATGTATATGCATAGTCGTAGATCCCGGTGGGGATGGAGGGGACATATCCCCCCCCCCCCCAATATTTGACAAGGGGATCAGGGCTTGCCCTAACTTTTTTTGGTAACTAGCCCACTGGGCTAGTTTACTAGATATCTTACTAGCCCACAGACTATTTTACTAGCCCACAGACAGGAAAAAATTTTGTTTCAAAATTTTTATTAGCGACAATTAAATTTGAAGGTTGATTTGCAATTTCATAATTTCTGTAGCATTGCTGTTTGAGCTACCCCCTCAAATTAGTGTTGAATAAATAAATAAAAAATCTC